CTCTTCCGCTAGCTTCTTCTTTGATCACCTAAAGCAGACACAAATCTCGTAAAAAGCCCGTTAAGTGCTATGATAATTAGACATGCGTCATTGAAGGAAAATATACTTAAAGGCTGACGTTATACCTGTAACTTGAACTCTTCAGAAACAGGGGCTGTAGGAACACATTAAGGGTTTGTCTTGAACCAGCGACATGCTTACTGATACCCAGCAAAAAGGTCCAAAGACACTGACATCTGCTCCAGGTGAGTTGGAAATAGTTTTAGCCGTAGGTTTTGTTGAAACTTGATTCTGAAAAACACTGATTATCTTTTGCGCCATGTGTTGGTCTAAGATGCTCTACTGTTTGCTGGAATTTCGACAAACATCTGCCCTGTGGATGATGTTGATGCTCGGACAATCTTTGTAAGTAATGTAATAAATTGTACGTATCGTATTCGTGGCTGAGATAAATCTTGTGTGTCTTTGCCTTGTTTCCTGTTCTTGTTCTTTCTGTGCTAGTTTAGAACTCTAGGTAGTTTTCACTTCCATTCTTCTTTTTTCTGTACAAAGGTTCTTATTCCGTATGACTGGTTTTTATACATTCCTTGAGGTAGGTGGTTTAAATCACTCTCTTGTGCGTTGCAATATGCATTTTTGTATGAAAAATCTGTCTTTTTACGGGATGCTATCCCGTGATTCTTGGAGATTGACTTCTGATTTCACCGTAGGTTGTAGATTTCTATGACTATTATTGTAAAGTTATGGTTATTCTGCTGGAACATCAATATCTCCTTAGGTGGTAAAATTCCTAAAGTAACAATGCCCAACGTCGAGCAACTGGTTGCTAGAGATGCGAAAGGTAGAGTACTGATGGGTAAGAGTTTGTTTTTGAGGGTTGTATCTGACATTTGGGTTTTTTCTAAGCTCTCAAGACTTGTATACTGATTTGTTTTTCTTTTTTTTTTTTTTTGCATTGAAATGGATAATAGTTCGTTCCCATAAACTTTTTGAATGTTGTTTGTTTTTCTTTTCCTTTCTTCATATTAGGATTAATCCCTAAGCAGGTTCATTGGGTAGGATTGTAATCAACATTTTCCAATTTAAAGATGGAACTGACCGTTGTAAGGATGCTCAAGAATCTGTCGTGAACGGTTCCCCTGTTTCTGAAGAGTTTAAGTTACAGGTATAACGTCAGCCTTTAAGTATATTTTCCTTCAATGACGCATGTCTATTTATCATAGCACTTAACGAACTTTTTACGAGATTTGTGTCTGCTTTAGGTGATCAAAGAAGAAGCTAGCGGAAGAGAAAAAAATTGTTGTGTGTTTTTTTTCTAGGCCACAGTTGAGAAACAGAATTCAGATATCAATATTTTATCACTGTTATTTTGAAACGTGGTGTCTTTTTTTTTGCCAATTTGCGATTGCGTCGCTAGTACTTTCTCTGTTTTATTCTTGATTGGTTGTTTTCTTTGGACTGCTCCACTTCGGGTGGAGTTATATATTGGACATTGAATAGGAGGACAGAAAACATGACGATTTCTTGAGGCTGGTAAGATGTTC